CACACACACACACACACACACACACACACACACACACACTCGCGCACACTACGCACTACACACACGCGCGCGCGCGCGCACACGCACACTACACATGCACTTACAAAGGCGCGCGTAAGTGCACGTCCGTGCGCACACGCACCACGCACGTAGCACCGACCCTGGTTCCAACCCTCCAGTCATCACTTCCCTCGCGTTTCTCGCTTCACCCTTATCCATCTCTCTTCGCTTGTGTGCGTGCATCTCGGCCACATTCTAGGTCCCATCTACGCGGGGTTGAAAAAACGGTCGGGAGTTGGGCGAAAAATGAAAGAATGAAGAAAAAATGGAGAAATAACTAATACCAAGAAGCTATTTGCTCTACGGGTCGCGGGACGCTCGGACAAGCGATCGCGACACCGATTACGCGTGTTCTCCCGACGACACCGCCTGTCGCACCCGACCGGGCCCACGCGGTACCTGTGCACACGCTGCGCACGCGATTGCACCTCCTACCACCTTCGCGACCAGTGCTGCCGTCGTCATCGTCGTCTTCGAATCGGTTTTGTAATTAACGTTTCCCGCCGACGCTTTTCTCGCACGCGTCTCTGCTAATTCTCCATGGTGACATTGTCAGATTGATTAGTTTCATTTTCAGAAAAAGTTTCATCGTCTTCTGCATTGGAGCTATTTTCTCCACGTCACTTTGAGCTTCAACTGAGGATACTGTTTCCCTTTACTTCATATATGGTTTCAAAAAATTCATTTCCAATTCATATTTCCATTTTTTTAAATATTTAGTTTTTTGGCCCGATACTGTAGCACTTTTTTTTAATAGCTCTTCTATGAGCATCTCTTAAATTTGCCAATGACTTTTTATATTCTTGTGCTACAAAAATAATCATTTTTTTTTAACTTTTATTACAAATTGAATTAAAACCAATAAAATTATTTTAATTTTTTTAATTGTTTCTTTTTATAGATTTTTAGTAGCTGGAGATTCTTACTAAACTATTGCCTTTAGTTTTTGATTGGGTCATTCTACAGTACATTAAATTGCTATAGAAGTGTGCACAGCAATCATAAAAAATTTAACAAGACATACGTACCACAACCAAAAAAAGAAAATTGGGAGCAGATAGCTAATGACTTTTGGGATATTTGGAATTTCCCAAATGATATAGGAGCTTTAGATGGGAAACATGTTGTTATAGGAGCACCTCCCAATATCAGATCTATGTACTATAATTATAAAACAATATTTACAAATTATATATCGAATAAAATTTTTTTTAAAAATGAGTATACCATGTGATATATTACTTTAAATTAATAAATAATTTAAATTTAGTAGTAGTCGAGACATTAACCGGGTTGATTCATTCCATATCCTATTTCCTTCCATAGAGATTCCTTAAAAGAATAGTCATTATACTTTTTGTGACTTAGATTATATAAACAATTTCTAGCTCTTACTAGCTCAATTAAAATTTCAATGTCCATTTTAATTAAAATATAGTTGTAGATTTGCTGACCAACTACACCACACAACAAGCCTGTATAACACGTACCTGTTGTTTTGAACGTACTAAAAACGTATCAAAATTTAATATTATTGGGTATAATACTATAATGTTTATATATTTGATAATATATATCATAAAGAAAAATATGTTAGTAGTACTCTATAATATAGAGGTTCCCAACCAGGGTGCCGCAAAAATATTTGAAATGTGTATTTATTTTTAAATGCCTTCATGAAAAATATAGCAATGTGAGTAATAAAACAGACTATACTCTATGTCTGTAGTATAAAACCTTTTGCGTATAGTTAATTAAGTATACACAATATAATTTAATGAATTAATTATTAACACATTTAATTTTTACATAGTAATACTGAGATGTTCAATCTATTTTAATTTTCACTGATTCGTATGCTATCGATTTGATGTGAACTATTTTAAAGATATTTACGTTGAAATACTTGTTACTTTATCTTATCTTTATTGTTTATTAATGCTAAATAAAACCAAAATTACAAAATATAAATTTAAATATACGATATATTAGTATTGCGTATTCAGTATAAACTATAGAGTATAGGACATAAGCTATAGGGTGCCTCCAAATTTTTAGAAAATAATAAAGGGTGTCGTGACTAAAAAAAGGTTGGGAATCTCTGCTATAATATTATATTTTGGGAAATAACGTCATTATCGTGTTCATATCTCACCGACACGGACACGCACCGACAAAACATTATTTCATACAATGTCTGCACGGTGCCGGTTATGTTAGATGTGAATTGGAGTATTATTTTATATTAATTAATAATTTGTCATTCCGCTACGTGTCTGTGCGGTCCGGTGCCGGCCTGCGAGTGTTGGTTCAGTGTGAATCATCCTTAAGACTTCAAAATTTGATACAGATTGTATTTGAAATTTGATCTTATCGTAAATTATAAATAATAAATAATAAACTTATCGTAAATCGGACAAACACGTGTCCCATATATGGCGATTTCGGTACCGTTAGTTAAAATTATTTGAATCATATAAAAACAAATTCAAGCTAATAGGAAACGTCTCATCGTATTATTGAGTGTATTCTCTTTTGTGGTTGCCAAGAAATTGCTTTAAATAGATCATAGGGATTCTGGGAATATTTTCAGTTAATACTTACTATTTAAATTATTATCAGGGCTCATAACTTATAGCTCTAAAAAAGGTTATAAGAGCTTAAATATGCACTAAAAATACTAAACTATGCAAAAAAAAATATGAATACAAAAATTATTATTTTATCATTATTATTTATTATATTATTTCATTATTTTAGCTTCTATTATTCAAAAAAAAAAAAAAAAATTAGATACTGAATTCACGAAACGAACGAATATACATACAATACAAAAAAATCGGAAACGACTGCAAAATGTTAATGAAAAATAATCTGTAAATAATCTGAGAATGATGATATCGGAATATCTAGATAATATCGAAATACCCGAATACCTAGAAACTATAAAAATAAAATACTACGATACATGCTATAATTATAATGGTTCCTTATCGATGGGATTACGAAGTTTCGGGCGTACACTCTCGCTACGTCACGCGTCGCCTTAACTCGTATAGGTATATACATATAGATGCTTCTGATACTATGATAGAAGTTATATAAAAGAAAAATTTTTTAACATGAATTAAATACTAACATGAACAATTAATATGACTATAATTACTTGTTATTTTTAAGAAAAAACGTTTTAGGCTATTAAAATTTTTTTTAAAAAAATCAATGATAAAAATCATGCAAAAATCCAAAAATAAGCAAAAAAAAGCGAAAAAAAGCAAAATAGCACTTATACTCCAAAATGTGCAAAAAATGCAACATAAAATCTCGTATGTAGCTTCTTGGTTATCTGAAACAAATTTATAGCTCACATAGGTACCTCTAGGACCTCTCAAAAAAAATATGCAAATGCTAGAATTTATAAGCCCTAATTATTATTATTATTATGTTTGTTCAATAAATATAAACAGTACACCTCGTAACTCAATATTATATTACAGCTCAAAAAATATCGAACCAAGGCAATTTCAGGTAAATTTTATTATATAGATGTAAAGGCGATGAATACTTAACAAATATATTAAAATCAGAGGGTCATAATAAATATATAACACCACAAATTCAAAATGAGATTTTTTTCATCGTATGGTAATTTAATCTTACAAACAATTATGAAAAAAGTTAACAATTCTCAGTGTTTCATTGTTTTAGCAGATGAAACTACTGATATATCTGTTACTGGACAAATTGCTTTTTGTATAAGATTTATTGATGAATAAAACAATGTAAATTAGTGCTTTCTTAAATTTATGGAAATACATAATTTGACAAGAAAAACTTGGCTGATTTGATTTATAGTGGTAAATTTTACTAACGAATGAATCTATTTATATTTATTAAATCATATTGAATTTATTATTTGTTTACCTTTTTATAGGTCTAATGAGATGTGGAATTGATTGTGAATTTTTATTTGGACAGGGATATGATGGAGTAAGTAATACGTCAGTCCAATTTTCAAGGTGTGCAAGCTCATATTAGATTCAAATATCCTAAACCAATTTAAGTGCATTGTGTAGCTCATTCGCTAAATTTAGCCGTATCTACTACAAGCAATATAAAAGCAATAAGAAATTGTTTATGCATTATTGAAAAATTATACAACTTTGTCAATACTCCAAAACGAAATCATGTGTTATTATTGTCTACTATCGAAAATAATGATGTTGATCGAAAAATAAAATCTTTAAAAAGACATGTGCAACACAATGGGTGCAAAGATACGATGCTGTTCATGATTTTATTGAACTTTTTAAGTTTGTAGTATAGAAGCTTTAGAATATATATCAGATTGGAGGGATTCGTCTGCTATCGATGCTATACTTCTAATATCAATGAACTCTGAATCCCTAATTTTAATTATTATTGTGCAGGTAAAAACAATATTTTTAATTCAAAGCAAGTATCTTAAGTCTATTGCAATTACCCAACGTAATTTTCAGCTAATATTTTAATTTGGTTTACCGTTATGTAAACAATTACAAAAAACCAAAATTGAATTAAAAGAAGCCCCATTGATATGGCATAATACATAATATATTGGTATATTGTCAATGAGTTTAAAAAAATTAAAGACAATTGTGATATGAATTTGAAAATATATTTTTAAAAGCTAAGGTAATACTTAGAAAATTTGTTTTTATAATGAATAGGTAACTAA